CACCCCACGCTCCCACCCCTTCCGTAAGTTACCTACTGAATACACCCAACTACTCTCTCCTCCTCTTCCTTCCTCTCTCTCTCTTCCTCCTCTCTCTCTCCCTCCCCCTCCTCTCTCTCTCCCTCCCCCTCCCCTCTCTGTCTCTCACACACACATATAACCCTGCACACCACCCTGGGACACCCCACCCCATGCCTGTCCTGCTCAGACCTGCTGGACCCCAAGCCAAGCCAGGGGCAGAGCTGAGGCCCCAAGCAAGGCTAAGATGACCTCTCTGGGCTCTTTAATCAGAGTTCTTGGGATGGTGGCCATCTGCCAGGGCTGGAGTGTGAATGGCCAGCTGTGGGAAATGGGTGGGCTCTGAAGGTCCCTGCAGCTGCTGCCTGATTTGACAGGAGTTTCCAGAAAGCCCCTAACCATCGCTGCAGTCAGCCCTCAGATTCCCCATTTGGGCAGCCAGCCTCTTGGCAGTCCCTGGGCACAGGGTGGGGGCAGATGAGGGGGGTGGTGTTTGGGTGGACGCCCTGCAGAAGCAGGGCTGACCTTGTCTGGCACAGTAGGGTGGGTGTGGGGAATGGGGATGGGGTGGAGCAGCAGGAAGTGGGGAGGGCAGCCGAGGGCTCCCCACCACAGCTCCCCAAAGCGTCTCAAAAAACGGAAGCAGCTCAGCAGATTCACCCTGCAGCCTCACGCTCCCACTGACCCATTCCAGAACCACAAAGGAGGCCTGGGACATTTGCAGGGCTGGGCGTGGGGCTGTCCAGGGTGGCCAGGCGCTCCCCCTGCAGAGGGGCCTGCAGCCTGTGGCAGGTTCCCAGCAGAGCACCCCCAGCCTCCACCAGAGCAGCGGGTCGGCAGCAGCAGGAAGAGCAGGTGCCCCGCCACCCAGCAGGGCCTCTCATCGGTGTCCCCAGCTGCAGCCCCTCCACCATTCCCCCAGTGACACGCGCACACACCCAGGTCTTCCAGGAGTCCGGGTTTATTGAGGGCATAGGGGTCTACAGGGGAGACCCAGGTGCTTGTGGGGAAGGCCTCCCATCAGCCTGGAGGGGCAGCGGCCCAGTGGGCAGCCAGGGATGGGATCTCCAAAACCTGTGCAGAGAGAGACAGAGACAGAGATGAGTGCGGGCCCACTGAGTGGTCAGACCTCACACCGGCGGGAGGTGGCAGGGGTGGGGGGGAGCCATCCTGGCTACTGAGCTGGGCTGGGGTGGAGCAGGGTGGGGTCGGGAGGATGGGGAGCATACCGTACCTGGGTTCACTTGAAAGTGTGACTCTCAGCTCCACCACGCCCAAAGCCTGCATAGAAAATAGTGGGCAGGTTAGGGGTGGCCAGGGGTTACGGCGCTCTGGGTGGGGGGCCTTTGGGAGCATACCTTTGGGTCCAAACATGGCAGCATAGCAGGGGTGGTTGCAATAGGGCTTGCCTTCATGCTGCGGAGAGAAGGGCCATGAGGGCTTGTCCTCCCTTCCCCGGAGCCCCAGCCTCCCTCCAGGACTACCCACCTCGGCGTGACCCCCTGAGGTCAGCGTCTTCCCACATTTCTCACACTTCAGGCAAGGCCGATGCCAATCCTTCCCGAGGGAGGTCACCCGCTCAGCTGCAGAGATACAGACAGCCCCCTCCATGGGGTGAGACCCTGCTCTGAGGACACGTGGCACACCCTCCTGATCACACACCACCTTTTCCAGGCGCGTCTGCTCAAGGCCTTGCCCACCCATGCCTGGTGGCCCACCGGAGGTCTCAGACAGCACCTGTGCCCCAAGAGTAGGGAGGGGGCACCTTTAGTCCCTAGCCAATCCAGCCAAACAAGGAGGGGATGGGCTCTGGGTCAAGGACCGCACCCCTGAGGGCTTGGGTGGGGCTGGAAGGGGAGGAGAGGGGACCTAGGGTCAGGACCTCGGCTGGCCTCCGGGCTAAGCCCTCCACCTCCTCACTCGTGGCAGGGGTGGGGTGGTGGGGCCTGCGGGGCGCCCTTCTCCGAACCCAAGAAGGAGGACTTCCCACTTCCTCCCTCCCCCACCCTGGGTGGGCTCCAGGGCACAGGGCAGGAAGGAGGCGCCTGGGATCTGAGTGCGCCTAGGATGGCGCCCCCGGCGCCGGTTTCTGCGTCTGTTTCTACTTAGTGCTGGGAGGGGCGGCCGGAGTCCCGCGTTTCTTCCTACCCCGCGGGGTTCCCGCCCAGGGCGTGCCAGAGAGGAGGCGGAAGAAGGGGATCGGAGGCGGGAGACCCAGAGTCGGAGAGAGGCGGTCATGAGAAGACCCAGAGACAGAAAAACCCAGAGACCCGGAGACCCAGCAGGACCCGGAGAGACAACGGGGCACAGAGATGAAGGGCCTTCGGACACGAGTGACCCGACCTGAAGACGCAGGCGGCCGCGGGCAAGGCTGGCGCGTAGCCCCGAGAAGGTGACCAGGGTCCCCCTGCGCCCCCGGACCACCTGAACTGCCCTCACCGGGTGAACCCTGGGCCGCGCTTCCGCGTGGGGCGGCGCCGAACACCACAGGTCGGGCCGGGGCGGGCGGGAGTTGGGGGCGCTCACCAAAATACACCTCCTTGTCGCACTTGGGGCACTTGGGCATGGTGGCGCCGGGTCCGGGTGGGCTGACTGGGCGGGAGCCGGCAGGAGCGCGGGACTGGGTGGGATCGGCGGGGTCCGTGCCTTTCAAGGACCCCGGGACCCCGCCCCTTTGGGACCCGCCCCAATGGTCCCGCCCCCTGAGTCCCGGACTTGGACCCGGAGGCCTTGATCCCAAGCCAACCAACTTAGAAAGGTCATCTGATCCACCCCCGCCTTGGGGCAGGGCCGGGGCCTAGCCGACGACAGAGCGTGGTCCAAGGGGCGCGGGGAATCCGTGGGGACTCACTGGAAGGACGGGGCTGGAGCACCGGGGGGAGCCTGGCCCCTCGCCCAATGCTCGGGAATCGCCGGGTCCAGGACCTGGGGCAAAGGGCTCCCCAGGAGGAGGGAGTAGCACCCACTCCTAGCCCCAGATATGCCACTTGCGGGAGCCGGGGAGGGGGCAGGTCACGTCTAAAATGCAAATAAATGCAAACTAGCGTGCAGAGCCCCTCCCTGCATACTTTGACTCGGACCTTTCCCAGATGGAGGCCTGGGGACACCCGGCAGGGCAGTTTCAGCCCGGTAGCCCTCCCACAGGAACTCCCCGCGGCCTTCACCACTCGCGGGGCCGGGAGGCCTGCCCGTCCCAGCCCCCTACTCCCGCGGGACTCGCCGGTCTCCACCAGCCCCACCCCAGCCCTACCCCGGGAAGTCCATCGGACAGCAGCGGGAACGTCCCCGGGGAATCTGGAAGAGGCGACGCCGGATGGCGGGGCGCCCACTTTCTCCGGGAGGACAGCCGCAGGCTTGGGGGCCTGCGGTTTGCGGCGGGGGAAGGTGACACCCAGGCGGTCTCAGAGGTGCCAGGCCGGCGCGGGGAAGAGGTCCTTATCTCCGCAAGAGGCGTCTAGTACCGAGCGGTCCAAGTCCGCCTTCCAAGGGGAGGCCTCTCGCTTCCCCGGTGCCAGGCAGAGACCACGGACCCCACCCACCCTGGGAGTTCGGGAAGGGCTAGCGGGCTGGCGCTCTCGGGCTGCGAGGGTCCTCGGCCATCCTCAGCCAACCAGTGTGCAGTCTCCCGCAGGCGGCGGCGCGGGGTGGGAAGGGGAAGCGCGGGGGGGGGGCGGGGGGGCAGGGAGGCGGCTCCCTTCTGCACCTTAGCCCAGGCTGAGGTGAGGCCTGGGTGGGGTTCTGGCCTCCATGCCCCTTTGGAAATCCTTGCCCTGTAGGGCATTGCCTGGCCTAACTCTCCTCCCTGCTGGTCACTGTCACACACTGGCCACCTCCCATTCCCTGTTGTGCAGAGGGGCTGTCTCCTCTCTCTGTGGATCTTCTACCTCCCTGCTTCACTGTGATCCCCAACACCACACCCAGTTTCCTGGCTTCACCAGAGCCTGAGCTCCCAGCCCTCTCTCCATTCTACACCCCTAACCTTTACCTCATCTCCCCTTGACACACCCATCTCCCAAAACAAAACGTCATCTCTGGTTCTGTCCAGGCCCTGTCCCCATGGAGGGTGCTGGAAACCATCCTCTGACAGGGCCCCGGAGCTTCTGACTGCCCCACACAGGCCTTCAGCCCTGATGGCATGCAGTCACTCTGACCTTACCTTTCCTGAAGTCCACCTACCCACCATCGGACCAGCCTGGGCCTGGCACTGGGAAGAGGGAGGAAAGCCATGAGTGCCCCCATCCCAAAACCCCCACCTAACCTGCCCTCTGCCTCCCCGACCAGGCCTGGGCTGGGGCGAGGCTGCGAGCTCCCAGGGCCGCATTGCAGCCTCAGTTAGGGTAGCACACTAGACCCCACACTCCCACCTCCCTGGGACTCCGTCTCTGAGGTTGCGGTTCTACCCTTGACTGGAGCTCTGCAAGCCCTGGGACCCACAAGGTTCAGACCCTGTCCTGGTCCACTCAGTGCCAGGCTGTCCGCTGCCCTCAGCAGGGGGTCGCCCACCCTGCTCTGGTGGGACTCCCTGCCTCTTGCCCACCCACACCAGCCTGCTCTGGCCCTGGCATAGGGGCACCTTGGCATGGTTTCTGGAGCTGAGGCCACCAGCCCGACCACCCTCACCACCCCCACCCAGCCCTGGGTGTCTCCTTGGCCCTTGCAGATGCAGCCAGGCCAGGCACTGCACAGGAGGGTAGTCCCAGCTTCCCTCATCTCCTGGCTGCATGATCCAGAGAGAGGCAGGACTGAGAGAAAGCTGGAGAGTGAAAGAGGGGGAGACGGGAGCACGGAGACACAGCCAGGGACAGACACACAGACATGGAGAAGCAGCAAGAGGGGAGGAAGGGCCCAGATCCCTGGTGATGGAGAGGGGGCAGGGGCACAGTCTGCAGGCGGTGGAGGCCTCTCACAGCGGGTCCTGGGGCTCGGGCCACAGTCTGCACGTGCCACCTTGCAGATCCCTGAGAAGGCTGCCTGGGTGGGTGAGCTGGGCAGAGGTCAGCTCCATGGGGATGATGTGCTCAGGGGTGTGGTGAACCACGGGGTGTCTGCTGGTGTGGCTGGGATGGGGTGCCTTCGCACACATCCACATGTGAGCGTGTCCACCTGGATATCTCTGGGAGGCGGGTGCACAAGGCCCTTCTCAGAGCAGCAGCCTTCTTGTGTTTCTGTGTTTCTGCCCAGCCCACACTTGCAGCTCCCCCAGGGCTCCCGGGGAGGTGGAGAGGTGAGCCAGGCTCCGCCTCCCTTCCACCCACCCGGCCCCAGGGATGACCCCCCCACACTGGGACTCCAAACCCGCCTGGCGCTGGGAGTCAGAGTGAGGACGAGAGCCCCCACCCCGAAAACCAGCGTGATGACTCTCTTCCTGGCCTTGCCTGCTGTTATTACCGTTGCCACGCTCACAGCGTGCACGGGTGTGGCGAGGATGCCGGGGGGGGGGGGGGGCAAGGGCCACGGGCGTCGGCCTCTGGCTGGTACACAGCAAGGTTTTTCCAGACACTGGACTCAGAGACGCACACACACTCCCTGAAACCCTCCCAAAGCTTCAGGCGCAGACTGGCATGCCCTTCCAACCCCTCTGAGCTCCCCACCTATCCTGCCTGCCTGTGGGGGTAGGGACCCCTCAAGCTGCAGCCCCAGCATCCCCAGCTATGATGAGTGGACAGCTCCTGCCCACCCCACCCCACCCCCGCCATGGCCAGGCACACCCCCCAAGTGAGGCTTGGCCAGGTGCCAGTCGGGGCCCTGACAGCCTCCCCAGAGACCCGGGCCCCACCAGATGCAAGCTTCTTGCTTCCATCAGCTCACCTGGCCCAGGATGCCCTTGTGGAAGAGGGGCACTGACCTGGCCCAAGGTCAACCTGACTCAGGACCACCAGGGTTGGGGGGGCCCAGTTCAAGACCCAGATCTGCCCTGCCCGGCCCTGCATCCCTCCCCTACATTACTCTTTGGGGTCACTCGTGGTATTTGTGGCGCGAACAAATGGTAGAAATGGAAGACCTGGTGAACCAGTCAGCGCGCTCCAGGGTGCAGCCCCCATCACTGCCCGCCCCACGGCCCTGCACTCATCTCCCTCCCAGCACTGGCCAGAGGGAGGTGCGGGGGCTGCATCTGGAGTGTGGCAGACAGAGTGGCCAGGACAGCTGGTTGCCCCAGGCTGCCTCTGCGCCCAGAAGGTCCACCCTGCACCAAGGTAGCGTGAGGGCATGCAGGGCCCTGAGACCTGGAGGAGGCCACTGCGGACTTCTGGCTGCCCGGCCAAGGCCACCTCCATCTGCTCACCCTCTGTCTGAACACTCCCACGCCCTTGTCTGTTCAAGCTCCACCGAGACTCAGCTGGAGACCCAGCAGCAACCAGCCAGGCCCCTGCAGCAGAATTCTGGATGGAGAGGGCCTGGATGGGGCCCCACGGCAGGGCTTGGGCTCCAGACACCAGGAGAACCAGTCAAGGCAGAGGAATCCGCCTGCAGCAGGGAAAGTTCTGCTCCTCAGGGCCGGCTGGCCTCCCTGCTCCGCCCCACTCCACTCCACACTGTGGCACTGGCCTCAGGCCTCTCTCCACCATCCTCGAAGCCTCACAGCTGGTGCCCCAGTCTCCAGGACCCCTCCTCCGTGTGGACCTGCTGAGGGTTGTGGACAGGTGTAAGGATGTCCCCTGCTAGGGCTGGAGGCCAGCCGGGCCTGTCCCATGTTCCTGCACCCAGGTGCCTTGGGGAACTAACTTGTGCTCCAGGACACCCTCTGAGCCTGGGGACAGAGCTGGCTTCCCTGCCCCAAATCCACCCCTCTCTGCCCTTCCCCCAGGCCCAGCTGAGTCACAGACATTCAGACATTCCCAGGGCCTATTTTTAGCAGCTTTTCTCTCAGGACCCCCTGGCTGCCCTGAGGTCCTGCCCCAGGGTGGCTGTGACGTGGTGGTGGGGGACTGGGCTCTGATCCTTTCCACCAGGCCTCAGCCTGGGAGGGGTCCTCTCCTCCCCTGGAAGCAGGAAAGGCATGCAAAGGGGCTGGGGTGGAGGGATGGGGGGATATACAACCTTGAAGTCCCTCAGGCAGCCCCACTCAGGGTCCACGGCTTGGCCAGATGGGTGCCTCTGCCTGCCTACAGCCACCCCAGGCTGAGCCTGGGTTCCAGGAATCTCTACATCCTGGGGACAAATCCCACGCAGTACCGCCTCAAATTCCAGCCTCACCAGTCCAGCTAGCTTGGTGTGTTCATGGGCCCCAAATCCACCCCCTGCCGCCAGCCAGACCCTGAGAAAATGTGCTGCCCACACCTGACTGCCCTGGCCTCTAGCCAGTCCTTGCCTGGCCCAGCTCCCAGCAGCTCAGAGCCAGGGTCACAGGCACTTGGTGATTTCTTGACACTCAGCCCCTGGGGCCACAGCCAGTGGCCAGTGAGCTGGTGCTTGGACTCAGAAACAGGAGAAAGTCATGCTCCCCCCAGTCATAAAGAAGTTCGGGGAGCCTATCCTGAGCTGGGTGGGGTCCTCAGGGAGCCGCCAGCAGGGGAGGGGCTGCCCAGCACTGATACCGGGGGACAGGGGTGGAGACAGGGCGAGGGGGTCACTGGCTCAGGGGAAGCTGGGCAGGGCTGGGAGGAAGATGCTGAAGGTCTAGGGTATGAGTCAGAGGATTCTGGGCCTCAGAGAAGTGAGGGCAGAGGGAGCTGCAGGCAGAGCAGGCCCGACAAAGATGACTGGCTGGGAGTACCAGCCAGGGCCCAGGTCAGAGATGGGGTACAAGGTGGGGCTTGGAGGGTCCTGGCAAGGAAGTGGGTAAGCCCGACCACGGAAGGTAGGGTTACTGCTGGGAAACAGGGCGGTGGAGGAGGCCCGAGTGCTGCGCCCAGCCCTGGGGTTCTGGAGGGTAGGGAGATGGTTAGATGGCACCTTGGGGCCTCACTGGCTGGGCATGGGTTGGAGGACTAGGGGTGTAGGCCAGTCAGGGGGAGGTGGAGAAGGCGGCACACATGGATACAGGCGCCCATTCCCTCCTCCCCTGC